CCAAGAGACTGCTAGACAGCTGGTTAAGGAGGTAACGGAGAAAGCCCAGGAATCAGAAGCAGTGAGGCAGGCATCTCTAACTGCAGCAGAACTCCGTCAAGGTTCTGGAAGTCGGGAGCACAGTCGTACCCCAAGCCCAAAGCCAGGTTCTCGAAAAGGTTCTTGGATGGATGACGAGGATCTACGACGTGAATTCCGTAGAGATTATGAAGACAAAAAAAAAATGTTCAAAGAGGAAATGACATCTGATAAAGATGTTTTCGGGGAAGGGTCTGCAAAAGAATCAAAGGAAATGAAGGTATCACAACAAAAGAGTAGTGACAGAGAAGTTCACATGGAGTCTAGCATGACAGAGAGCATGGAAGAGTCGAGCACAGTTGAAAGTGTACGTTCTATAGAAGGTAAAATCAGAGCTGAGGTCATTACATCTGTAGTGAAGGAAGTCAAGGAAGTTGAGACGGAAAAAAAGGAAGAAGTAGTTATGAGAAAAAAGGGTCATGTTGAAGAGTTCAATCGAAGATCAGGTACAGATTTTGACGCTTACTCTAGTTCTGGAGAAAGCCACTACTTCACAGCAGCTGAAGGCACTTCTGACAGCCGCACTGGAAGCAGACCATGTTCATCTGATGTGGAAGCACTCATTTCCGAGCGGACCACAGGCACCTCTGAATATGATACTGCACTCACTTCACAAGATGCTTCACAATATTCATCATATTCAACTTCCTCTCAAGATTATCGTACAGCAGCCAGCTCTATAAGTTCTAGAGACTCAATGAAATCCATTGATTCTGAGAGTTCTGGCCATCTTGCTAGCTTTGAACTAAGTGAAGCTTCAGAAACCTTAGTACCTTCTGCAGCAGAGTTAGAGAAAGATATGGATCTTCTTGACCAAGATGCGGCTGAGGAAGAGATCTCTCATTCCCATCATACTGTCATCCCACAATTAACAATTCAATCTGACACACCAAAATCTGAGGATGCACCAGGATCCTTTGAAGTAGAATCTGATGAAGCTGACTTTGAACAAGATGGTAAAGATACTGATAGTTATACTACATCTAAAATGAAAAGATCTATTGAAATGACATTTTATCCAGAACCCAAACCCCTAAGCACAGATAAGAAAGGTAGTGTAACAGAAAGTGTAGCTTCAAGTTTAGAAGAGAGTACTGTTTCAGAGGTTTCTATGGCCACTGTGGTAGAACAGGATAAAAGCATGCAGGGATCTACCACCACAGACTCTAACATGACAGCATCAAGTGTGTCAGAGCAGATGATGTCATCAGTCGAAGGTCAGGATTTTGATCATCAGGTAACTTGCACAGACAGTGGAGTTTTGACAACAGATACAGGTGATGGAGACATGACCTTGCATTCTGTTACCATTACTGCAACATCAGTTCCACCTTCAACAGATGACCAGAGTACAGCTTCAATGTGTACTCAGGTGACATCTGAAACCCGTGCTCAAGTAGAATTAACAGAAAGTGAGCAGTTTTTTCGCGCTAATGGACCCACTGAAGTAGATTATGTACCTGAGTACGACGATGAGGAAGTACGAGGTGCGCGGCCAGCTGTAGCCCCTACTGTACCTGCTTTTCAAGAAGCTGCAGGAGCTATAGCTGGCCCTTCAGAGGGCCCACAGAAAGTTGTCATTGTTGAAGAATGTTACGAAACCGAAGCCGATCAAGAATATGGCCAAATGATGAGAGAGAGTGAATACTCTGAACTAGCAGAGGCTGAGCTTCAGTATTCCCTAGATGAACAACCTGAAGCAGAGATGAGTAGTATGTTAGTGATTGAAGAGCCAATTGAACGGCCAAGAACACCTGAACCTGGTTTTATACCCTCATCCCGTCCTACTTCTATGATCATCCAATCTCCTGAAGAACCTGAAGAATTCACTGAAGTAGATAAAAGGTTTAGTGCTGTATTTTCTACTACTTATGAAGAGAGAGATGAAGGTAGTCGCTCATCAGTTTCAGAAATGATGAGTATAGATGTACCAGACATAACTGTCACAGAGCATACCTTACCTATGCCGAGTCAGTATTGTTATCCAGATCTTGAACGTGAGGAGGACTTTCCCGAGTGTCGAGCACTAGCGGAAGCAGAAGACCGAGGACCGGATATTCCAGCTACTCCGGGATCTCAGGAATCTGCATCCACTTGTGCTTCACGCAAGTCGTCCTCGACTGACTCGGAGCAAGGGAGAGAGTATTGCTTGGATGACATGGCACATGGCCCATCATTTGGGTCTTTTGAAATGGTGGAGGCTGACGAAATTGATGATTTTTCAGAATATGAACGAACATTATACATGCATGAAGAGCGCATGATGGAAATGTCACAAATCAAGGAAGAAGATGAAGAAGAAGTAGAAGAGGAGAGGCGTCTTAGTAGCTCTCCAATACCAATTCCAACACAGTTAAAGGCTGTGAAGATTGACAATTCTAACACTCCCAGCGAATCTCAGGCTAGTGATGAGACAGAAGAAACAGATGAGACAGGTGATCCAACTATTGAAGAACAGAGAAGGTGGCTAGAGCTACAGTTTGAGGAGAGTGATGCAGCTAACTATGAATACCAGCAAACTGGCTTCATAGAACATGTATACTCTGGTCCCCTTGAGGATATTGAAGAAGAAAGGGAAGATGCAGAGCGGAGAGATCTTTCACACATCACAAAGAACTCATCACTCTCATCAACGCCAGAATATGATGTTCTAGCTGGTAGGAAATTTTTCACCCGCAGTGGAGAGCACGATGATGTTTCCATGACTTCCCTCCAGGAATTTGAAAATCTTGAACAACAAGTTGCTGTTGAAGCTATAGCAAGGAGAGCTAGTTCAGGTTCTCAGGAATCTTTGAATGGCAAGAGACCTGAGAGTAAGAGTGGACATGGGGATGATATATCTGTGGGGTCTTTTGCATCACTCCAAGAATTTGAACGTCTAGAAAAAGAATGTTTAATTGTCGAACAAATAGAGAGGAAAGCTCAGGAAGAAGCAGCAATGCTTTCAGAGATAGAAGAAGGGCATGAAAGCCAAATGTCAGAATCTGAAAGTTGTGAGACGCTCTCTGAGCCAGGACGTGCTTCAGTTGAGGGTGAGGAGTATGACCAGAGATTGTTTGAAATAGACGAAATTATACGTCAGGCACAAGATAATGTAGAGAAGTTTGATAAAAGTAAGGCTGAATATGAAGGTGTGAGATTACAAGATATTGTGAGTGTAGATGGATCCGGTTCAGGCAGCAGCCATGCTGATCGCACACCAAGTGTAGGTCGTGAAGAAGGTGATGCAGACTCTTTAGAGGAGGCTCAACTGCCAGAATTAGATCTTGATCAGACTGGTGTTACGAGTGTAGGAAGCTCAGCTAAGCAGGATACCATGAGCATGAGTGCAGACAGTATTGAAGCAGCTCCCAGGCATAAGGTACCTCGTGAAACAAGTCAGGATTCTTTAGAAAAGGCAGAAGCTCGTTCTTCTGACCCCATGACTACTAGTGTAGATAGTATTGAATTTGTGAGTCGTCAGGATCTAATGACTACTAGTACGGACTCTATAGAGGGCCGGAGAAGACGTCCAGATGCAATGAGTGCATCCACAGATTCCATTGAACCCAGCAGGCGTGACATCATGGCCACCAGTATAGATAGTCTAGGCAGGGATGATTCTAGTGGTAGAGATGCAGATATCAGTTCAGGAAGTGAACAAGTGAGGCCTCTGCCCAGGGATGGTGGAGTGATGGAGTGCAGTCTGGAGTCTTTGGAACCCACTTCCTCCCAGGCCACTCATGCAACTTATCAATATGATACAGACTCTATTATGTCAGGCTCCTTCACTAGTGGATGCTCCAACACCCTTGTTGCATCAACAGATGATTTTCCAGATATGATGACCTCTTCCATGTACCTTCCAGAAGGTGAATTGCCACCAGAAAGTGAAGAGCAATATATTAGATATATGCAGGCCAGTGGTGGCACAGCAACTGAAATAGTCCAACCGTCAAGTGAGGAAGGTTACTCTCATACTGTCACACGTGTAGTTAGACTACCACCAGAGGCAAAACAAATAACCTTTACAGGACCGGATGCTCAAAAGAAAATGGAAGAATACATGCAAAGTTTTAATGCTGGAGAACATACCACCCAGGAGGAAGCAGTAGATGCTCAGGGCAATGTCCATATCCGTCGTGTAACACAAAAACGTATAGTAACAGATCCAAAGGAAACAAAAGAACATGGATTTTCTGTGGCAGATCCAAGTGTAGAGGAGGTAGAAACCCGTGATGAACACGGTAATGTAACACGTATTGTGAAACGAACTGTTGTCACCACACATACAGTTGAGGTCGATCTCGATACTGGTGAACCAATAGTGCAGCCTCCTCCCACCACGGTCTCCTCCTCCCCAGCCACTTCCTTCTCCTCCCGTATTCCTCGTCCAGTGACCAGTCCTCCTCTAGCCTCCCGGTCACCCCCTCCTGGTCCGCCCCCTGGGTCGCGCGGCCCCCGTGAGCCCGTCCTCCCCTCCCTGGAGCCCAACACAGTCTCAGGTACAGCGTCCCAAGCGTCACTGTGTTGCACCGCCCGCCGGGTGTGTCCCCGCACTCTGCACTCCTCCAGCCTTAGTTCTCTTTCAGCATGCTGTGTCCGCATGACGTCACGCCAACCATCAGCCCTTAGTGCTCATTTTGTTATCGTCTGTAATTAGTTTTATCTTTAAACTGCAGTATTTTGTCATCTAGAACCTTCATTTATTTGGTTTCCTTTCATCTACAAGCATATTGATGATGTATATGACTCTCGTAGATCAGTGGGGCTTAAGTATATCACATATTTTTATTATTATTATTTCCCATCTGTCATTGTGTATATAGCGCTATAATAAGTGTCCCTTAATGTATGAGAAGTCGGTAATTTGCTGCACTGTTGAGTTGGCGATGCGGTCCAGCGCTTGACTAACGAGTCTCTCTCTCTGCCTCGCTCACCAGACGTTGTGCAGCCGGACAGTGGAGCGGGGGCGCGGCAGGCGCCAGGTTATAAAATCTCTTTGTGTGCTTTTGCATTTCTGCTCGTGCCCTGGTTGTCTCCATCCATACCCTTGGTGTCGTTGTTGTGTATTACTACTACTTAACTTACGTTGCAGTTGTGGAAGTGGTGGCCTTACCCTTTGCATGAGTGGCACCAGGAGGGGAAGAATTTTTCCAGTTGAGTCAAAAGGCAAGAGTGGGGAGCCCCTTGTGGTAGTATGGAGGGGATGGTGCTGGCTCACACTCACACCTTCTGGGAGGGCCCACCCCCTTATGTGTCATGTGGTGGCGGTGGGCTGTCATTCTCCTGGTGCCAGTGTTTTGATAATGAGCAGAGTAGTAGCGGAGGTTCCTGGCTGCTGGGGCGGGCCACTAACACGGTGGTGGGGAACCCGCTCTCATGCCATGGCCAGGAGGAGATTTGTTGCTGTTGGAATTCCTCACCGCCTGCCTACTGTTCGAGTTTATCTTAATTGTCGTGTTTGTCACTCACCTCCAACCGATGCAGCTTGTGATCGAGTAAAAGAACAGTATGCAGGAGTGACGAGATACCAAGGGTTACATTTCTCACACTCCATCCTTACCCAGCACCGAACGCGGGCACAGGAATCGTACGTTTACCGCAACCGTACGATGAGGCATCAAACCAGTCAGACGGAATTCAGTCTTTAAAGCGACAGTAACGGGAAGAGGAACATTTCAAAGAAAATTATGATAGTGCCCGCGTTTATTTTGGTTTACTTATATGTATAATTATTTTGTATTTCTTTTTTTCCGTATTTTACTAATGGTGTGGTATGGTTTTATATTTAGTGTGCATTTGCACTTATTATTTACTTATTTATGTCTTTTATTTCCCTTAGTTAAAACAAACATTGAGAGGCATGTTTCTTTATGTAATGTATTGTGATTAGTTTCAAAGACATTAATTCATTCCTTGCAAAATTTAGTTGATTATATGCATGCTGGGAGTTGGAGTTGTTGTTATTATTACTGTAAACCATGTTTGACTTTGTTTAACATAACTTTGGACTCTCAGTGACGTTTTTTAAGTCCATTCAATTGTATAATGATTTGTCTTTTAAGTCCATGCATTTGTATAATGATTTACGATATCTTACAAGCACTTACAGTCCACGCAACATATATTCCCTTGCCATTGCAAACATGATTACCACTTGTGTTACATACAAATAAGAAGTGCTTTGTTCTCACTGTCAAGGTGTTTTCCAAGTGTAACTTTTGAGTCAGAGAGTGGCTTTGCAGGAGGTTCTGAGACTAAACAGGGCACAGATCATGCAAATCCTGGGTATCCATTTGGTAACCTCATATGGCTCTGTTCCTGGCAGAAGCAAGAAAATACCTCCTTCCCAACACCCTCCTCTCAGTTGGCAGAGTTATCCATTCTTCATTTTTCGTTTCTTTTTTTGTTCTTTTTCTTTCATTTCCTTATCATTTCCGATCACTCAAAACAGTATCGCCTTTTCTTTCGAGGATGTAATATTACACATTTTGATTATATCTTTTAATAGTCTTTTTCCCCGGCTCACTTCATTCTTGCTGTTTTTTTATTGCATACCTCAGAACTTTGTAAAAGTATATAATGTTATCCATTTTTTGCATTTATTTATGTTCATGTAGTAATTTAAATGCCATTATTCGCTATTCAGCAACTACACATATTCGCTTTCATGAGACACGGGGTAGCAGATTTTACCTCGGCAGAATATCAGTGTTGATATCCATTTGCAGATAAAAGAGAGTAGCAAACAAAAAAGTAAAAGGTAATGAAGATATATCTGAAGGAGTAAAACTAAAAGTGATCATAGTTTTACCTGGAGAAGTAATGTCTTTACCTAGAATTCATAGCTGATACTTGTTTCCACTTAAGACAACGCGCCAATGTGTTGGAAGAAGAATTTGAACACATTATGGGATTTACACTGATATTCTGCTTACCGCTGTGCATGCAAATGGTTCTCACTCAGCAGCTGTCAATTCTCCCTCAGACCTCTGTTATGCAACAACAGATTACATACTTCTCTTAAAGCTTAAACCTTCAGTACAGATAAAACTATAGATTGATGCTCTTTGTTATCTAAATTTCACCTTTTGGATTTCTCAATTGCCTTCGGTGTCTCTTTATCACACTCCTAGTTCTTGATCTCAACTCTGTTTTATACCAACTGTCTTTAGCAGAAATAATTATTCGCAAACATATAGCTTAGATCTCATGTAGAATATACACCACCTCTACTCTTCGGCTTAAAAAAAAGAAAAAAATAGAACACCATCACGAGAACTTGCAACTCATTGTATAATGTATGTGGCCCACCCAGACATTGCATCTCAGTGTCCCCCCACACAAGAGACCTCATCCCCCCGTGCCCCAGTACCCCAATGAGTAGAACCACGTAGTTGCCCCCCTCCCTCACCCCCACCCGCACCCATAGCCCCTGCTTAGGAACCATTAACCAGGGGGAAATCCTCGCACGCCAGATCCTAACCCTCGACCCATGTAGTTTATCCTTCTATGATTTTCCCTGTAGGTGTAGGAGTCGATGAGATGAGCAGTGTGATGGAGAGTTACACCAGTGATGGTAGTGACCCCATAACCACCACCCATACCACCAGGTAGGATCCTAAGTCCCGCTGCCCATGTTTACCGGGTGAGCAAGGCGGTCGAAGGAACTCTTTCTGGGGCTCTCTTCGGCGACCTTCCAGGTGCCCCGTCCTCTGCCGGGCCCGCGTGCTGAGCGCCCCCCGGAGAGTGCTGTTGTCTCTCTCTCTCTCTCTCTCTTCTCTCTCTCTCTCATTCCTCTCTCTGACTCTCTCTCTCTCTCTTCTCTCTCTCTCTTCTCTCTCTCTCTCTCTCTCTCTCCTCTCTCTCTCTCTCCTTCCCTCCTCTCCTTCCCTCCTCTCCTCCTCTCCCTCTCCTTCCCTCCTCTCCTTCCTCCCTCTCTTCCTCCCTCTCTCTTCCTCCCTCCCTCTTCCTCCCTCCCTCTTCCTCCCCTCTCCCTCTCCTCCTCCTCCCTCTCCCTCTCCTCTCTCTCTCTCTCTCTCTCCTCCATCTCTCTCTCTCTCTTCTCTCTCTCCTCTTTCTCTCTCTCTCCTCTCCTCTCTCTCTCCTCTCTCTCTCTCTCTTCTCTTTCCCTCCTCTCGCTCTCCCTCCTCTCTTCCTCTCCTCTCTTCCCTCCTCTCTTCCTCCCTCTCT